TATCAGAGATGATGAAACGTGAGTTACAGGCAACAGAAAACTACCCCAAAACATTTCGTGCAAAGCCCATTGATATAAAAAATGAGATTTTAATGTTTGACTATTCCGTGCCAAATCCACATATAAGGGAAAGTACATGTGCAATTACTCAGGTCAAGAGAGAAGCATTAGAAGCTATCATCATATTTATTTAGAAAAGTGGTATCAAATACAACCATATATATTTGTGCCTCTTCAGAGAGCATTTTCAAAATATCAAACAGCACTGCCATTTTCCAGTGAAAACAATGACAAAGCATTTCAGCTTGCTTTTTATTTTTAATCTTTTCAGTATTATATGCTTTATATACACAAAATAGAGACAAAATCATATAGGAATCCAGAGCCAAAGACATGATACTGAAAGCAGTCAAGACGAAAAATGTATTACTGAAAATGATTTCTAAAAGACACATGTATTAGGCAAGAGATGAAAAAAATTATTCCCTTACAAAATCCTAACTCTACACTGTTTTGTACATATGGGATTTCATGTAGCAAAAAATAAAGTTTTATCGATGCTTGCATGCCTTAAAGACAACAGCAATTTTTTTCTTTTTTTTTTCTGCAGCATCATTTAAATATAACATCCCTTTCTGTTCAAACCCTTTTATAAGCGTCCCCTCCTGAATTCACACAATGGCTATACTGCAGGAATGGGGGGGTGGGGGGAGGTGTGTGTAAAAAAAACAACAAACATTCTAAGCATAGTAACAATTTTTTGCTTTTCTCAACAGAGAAAATAAAAATACTTTGATTTGGTAAAAGCAGTTGAAACGTCGTGTATTTTAACATTCTGAAGAACTGTAACGGGAAGGAGGTGACTATGGCAGGTTAAAAACTGAAGTACCCCCCCTCCATGTCTTAAATACAAATAAGGCAAAATGTCTGCATGCAAGTTAAAAAAGTTTTTTGCAAAACTGCTCATGAAAACCTGGATTCAACACAAGGAAGCTAATAATTTGAAACTAAAGAATTGGATATTTGGACTGGACCAGTGTGAATGTATTAAGTATTGTTCTTCCTTCAACAACTGATGATGTGTATATGGGGAGTAGGTATATCTGTATTACCTGTTAAGACTTTTTATTTTTTAAAGATTTTTGAGTAACTATGAAGATTTCCTAGGAGTTAAGTTTGGTTTATGCAACAGAATTATACACCTAAGCCCTTCAAAGGATCGGTCAGTTTAACCAAGTGGCAAGGGACAGTACAAGCGGAAATGGCCCCATGTTGTGCCAAGGAAGTTTAGATAGGGTATTATGAAGAACTTCTTTACTGATAGGGTTATCAGGGCAGTGATGTAGTCCCTATCCCTGGAGATAGGAGGGATATGATCAAGTCAGGGACTTGGCAGTGTTAGGTTAATGGCTGGACTCAGTCTTAAAGGTCTTTTCCAATCTAGGCAGTTCTGTGATTTTGCGAAAAGTTTCCACTTCAATTTTTCTCTTCCTTGAATTTGTATGTTTTCATCATTATTTGAAACAGTATCTAAATTTTAGAAAATCTCACAGATGTTTTAGAACTGTAACATGTTTTTGTTAATTTTTAAAACCCTGTCAGTTTTGTAACAAAACAAAGCAGCTTGCAAATGACAATATTTGTCTGAGATAGAGAAAAAGAATTGTTTACTAGATATGTGCAGAAGCCATTTTAAACTCTCCACAGTTTTACAGATTTGTAACAGAAGCAATCATTCAACATTAAAACACACTGAAGATTTAATTCTGTATTGGTTATGTTTTAGTAGTCTGCAAAGTAATTAAGTATGAAAAATAATGAGAGTACCTTAGCTGAAAATTACATTTAAATTTGCTGAAGCTGTTTCAAGAGCACAGGAAGCCCAGATGTTGGAGAGTAAGCCAGCATAGTATCAGATTAGTATCAAGCCCAGAAAAGTGTCAGAATTCAAACAGCTCATATTTATACCTGCTGTGCCTAACAAGAATTGCATTCAAGTATTACTGCACTACACTTTTTCCTCCTGCACTCACTGTAAGACCATGAAAGCAGTTTACAGAATTTTACTTACAGAATTAATTCTGGAAAGTATTTAATCTAAGTATCACTCATTCCCCCTACATGATTTGATTTCTATAGGCAGTAAACCACATTTTTTGTCACATGCACCATTCACTGTGAGGAAGACTATAAAAATCTGTTGGATGAATGAAGTCCAAAATTCCCTCAAATGTACTCTAATTAAAAAACCAACCAACCAAACAAACAAAACCAACAGCAACAACAAAAAACCCCCAATTTCTGCTCCTTTACAATGGACTTTGGCCTAAAGCTACACCATGGGAAAAAAACCCTTCAGCTGGACAGAAGAGATAACACGAGGAACAGGCTCTTAATTAGTAAATGCCTTATGGACATAGTTCAGCTACATTGAGAACTGTTGATCACTGAAAGAACGCACACCAAGAAGTGAAATAACTTTTTTATTGACAGCTTCTTGGCAGGTCCACACATTTTGAACTTTAGGTCTGGGTGATGAAATATGTACTGTCGGTAATTAGCATTAGTCTTTTCCTTCGGTGCAATTAACCTATGTAGCTTAAACTGCTACCTCTTAACTGCTTGACTAGTCAGATAAATGCTTACTTCATTAAACTTGACATGCTTCTGAAAATCAAATTGGTATTTGTAGAGCTGACAGTGTTTCTACACAGAAAGGAACATGGTTAGCGCTGTAATGATTGACACAGTTGTGCTTGTCAGGCACTGTTACTTTGTATCCCTTACATATTAACACATCTGGATAATGAAGCAACTTACAAAGTGATGCTTTAGTGATTATAGAGACATCTAATTGTCACGGGTTACAGTTAATGCAATTCAAGGGGCTTAGATTTTTTTTTTAAATATAGGGCTCTGCTACATTATATAGCTACAGAATTAACAGATTCTTATTATACTTTTACAATAAAGGATAAAGGGTTAAAGTTCCAAGTACTAGTATCAAATTGCCAGCCTATACCTATTTATAAAAGAGTCTTATTTCAGAATCAGTTTATGGCACAACAAAAGATGGGAAATTAAAGCTGTGGATAATTTACAGATGAGCAAAGAAATAATTCAGTGCTTTAGAAATTCTTTTCCTGTTTTCAGTTTCACATAAATTTTAAACTGAAAGCAGAAATTTGCATCCTGAAAAATACAGCATTTCAAAAGAGTGTATACACATGTGGACTTTTAAAACCATTGTTGAGCTGTATTAATTTGAGACATTACAGATACTATAATGTGCATGATAGGACTATAAAAAAAGTCAAAATTTAAAATCAGTTTCAAAAAAAGTAGTGCTGTCTGATGTCAAACTCCATACTGTCTTACACATCTAGTGGTTCTGGTGACAGTGGTGGAAATTCAGCACTCAGGTAAGGAAAACAAAATTTAGCCCAATTATGTGTAACACAATAATATTCTAAGCTATCAAGAAACCATTGCTGTAAACAAATCTTTACTGAGAGGTTAAGAGCCCTTTCATGTACAGTACTACTTGATGCTGAATGTGTATTTCCATCTAGTTACCATTCGTTTCATACCAATTTTAATTAACTGCTACTATTGTGCAATGATCTAACTTTAGAATATTTTGATAAAGAAATCTGGGGTTATCATCAAAAGATTCTTAGAATGCCTATGCTAGCTGTTAACGCATTAAGTGGACTACAGCTTACATACTCTATCTACAGCATATTTCCATATAATTTATATGTAAACAGAATTTGTATTTCAAGCACCATTTAGGAAAATGAAACATACCTCCATTGTTACACTGAAGTTGAAAGCCAGGTTTGGTCTCCCTGTGACACATTCATCCTGTATATCAAATCAAATGTCTTACAACTAACAGCAGAAGCTATCTCACATACTTTGCTCCCCAATTTTTCTCAGCATCAGAAACAGCAGGATAAAAAATTGTAAGGTGCATGAATAAAGGCCATTCCTGAAAAAGCTGCAACATTCTGACAGACACTCATAAAAAGCATTTCAGAAAGAGCATCCACATGGACATAAATATTCATTCTTTAAAGAGCTACTTGCACAGGGGTCATTTCAGACTG